CTTTTCTGGAAGTAAGGGATCTTGAGACTGTTGTGCATGCACTGGTAAACTCACGTCTGTATTTCTGTAATGCGCTCTACATGGGGCTACCCTCGTGCTTGGTTCGGAAACTGCAGTTAGTACAGAATATGGCGGCCAGAATAGTGTCGGGAACATCTAGGAGGGACCATATTACGCCAGTATTAAGATCCCTCCACTGGCTGCCTATTAGTTTCAGGGCCCAGTACAAGGTGTTGGTTATCACCTATAAAGCCCTAAATGGCTTGGGTCCAAACTATTTCCGGGACCACCTTCTCCCCTACAACCCTCCCCGTGCACTCCAGTTCTCTGGGAGGAATTTGTTGCAGCCACAAAGATCTAGGCTTTCGACTACCTCTCAGAGGGCTTTTTATGTTGTCGCCCCCAGACTGTGGAACGGCCTGCCGGACGAGATCCGCCAATTGACATCTTTAGACAGCTTTTAAAAAGCTGTCAAGACGGATCTCTTTCGGCAGGCCTTTCCAGGATAGTTATCTCAGCCTCAGGAATTTTCCGGGAACTCTTTCTAGAGACTCCTTTTAGAGTCTCATGTAAAGTGTCATAAGGTCGCCATTTTCTGTTCTTTTTTCCTGTCATTAATATTGTTGCAGCTAATTGCTGTATTTTTATTCTATCAGTTTTTAATTTTATCTGATTTAATATTCTTTTACGGGGGTAGGGATGGGGTAGGGATGGGATTGTGATGTAGTGTACTTTTAACCTGTCAGCCGCCCCGATTGTTCTTAGAGGGGCAGGGTATAATTACATTATTATTATTATTATTATTATTATTACAAGGATTCCCTGCCTCCCACTTTCCTCTCCAACACCCTGAAAATCTGCTTTTGGGAGAACTCCTGGAAATAGAGTGGTGTATGGTATTAGGGACTGCAGCTGAATAGAAAAATTGACAGAAATCACCCCCTCTCCTATATTCATGGAAAAGGAATTTTGAATCCAAGACATAATAAATACTCCCCTGCCCCTCACTTTGCCAGATTTGCTTGGTTGAATTTTATCAGGTTCAAAACCTGGGTTTTAGTCTCTTGGAGCAAAACAAAAACACACAGAGAACTATGATGGAAAAATAATACCAATTTGAACTTCTAGTATTTTTCTTCCATCTCCTGTTACTGCATCTATTTTTTAACACTGATGTCTGCAATGGATTACACAGTTTTGAGCTTATTCCCCTCCAGTACCACTGTCATGAAAACTGTGAAATGTTTATATGAAAGCAAGGTTTGGTTCAATGGATTGAGAAATAGGTTGGAGAGGTGTTCAAGTCACACAACTATATGTATTTAGTCATACCACTTTGTTGTTGTTGTGTACCTTCAAGTCATTTCTAATTTATGGCAGCCCAAGATGAAGCTATCACTGGGTGTTCTTTGCAAGATTTGTTCAGAGGGAGTTTGGCAGAAGCTGAAAGAGCGTGACTTGCCCAAGGTTATCCAGTGTTTTTCCATGGCTGAACTGGGATTTGAACCCTGATCTACATAATCATAGCCCAACGTTCAAACCACTATACCAGGCAACCTTTCCCCTTTAAGGGCCGAGGGACTTCAGCTCCCAGAAGCCTCAGCCATGTTGACCAATAGTCCCATGTTGGTCAATAGCTCCTGGGATTCTGGGAGCTGAAGTCCCTCGGCCCTTAAAGGGGAAAGGTTGCCTATCCCTGCACTATACCATCTGGCTTTTGTTTATATCACTTGCTAAATCTTAATTCTTCACCTATAAAATGGGTACATTAATTACTTAACTTTCAGGATTGTTTGAAGTGGAAATAGATAAAGAATATTAAGTATGGTTATACGTAACAACTTTCAACTTGCTCATGGTTCCTTATTCTAATGTTTTTCAAACAATTAACACTTTCATTTTGATTATAAAAAGTAAAGTTAAACATTATATTCTTTCAAACCTCCACCAACACATAGCTCTAGTCTTGAAACATTAATCACATATGAAAAGACTCAGATTGGCCGTCCATACCAAAATAGTTTCACTTAAGAGTACTCTTAGCTTCTTCGTTATTTAGAAATGCACGCACACACATACATGTGAGCACATACAGAGAAAGAGAAACGTGATTTTTTCAAATATGAAACAATTTTTCCAACACCTTGTATCAGCAAGCAATCATGGAAAACTACCCATTGTTAGCCAACTCTGAACATTCTCCTAAAGCAATCAGCACGCCTCCTGTATAGCCTTCCATGAGACTTGAAATCTATGCAAATTACTAATGAGAGCCATTTTTATATCACCAATCTGCAACCTTGCAACACATCCTTATGAAATCAAGCACTGCATTATCTGTATTAATTTCAGCAAGATACGTTACCTGCAAGAATAGTCTGACTGGAAATATTTCATCTGCAAGCCCTACAATGTAGTTTATGTAATTGAATGCAAATACTCAAGATATAATATTCAGTATGTACTGTATATACTCATGTATAAGTGCAAGGCAGGTTTTGAGGCCAAAACTGTGGATATTGATATGACCTGTGGATAAGTCACAGGTAAAGCTTAGGAGCATGTAACAAAGGATAAAAAGGATGAAGCAAAGAAAAACAATGACAAAGGACTTATACATTTTTGGCAGGCATAACTGTGCTCACCCTAAAAGCCTAATGGATGAAGAGGGAACTACAGTAAATGGTGGCTGTGCGATGTATGAGGGAGGTGACCAGACATGGGTAAGCTAAGAAAACATGCATATGTCAAAAACGATGTAAAGGCAAGAGTTAAGTACAGTATTGACTCTTAACAAAAAAGGAATCATCTTCTTTCAGTAGAGTGGTGAAAGATGAGAGCTTAGTCCATCCCAGGAGAACTTAAAAGAAGCACTGACCTCTTCTACCCTTTGAGTGGAAATGCTAAAGACCTGCTTCTCTCACTATTTTCCTACCCAGGCATTCGAAAAGGAGAGTGGCACTGCTGCAGAGAGAGTACAGGGGGCCAGTTCTTTTAGGTTCTCCCAGGATGGACTAAGCTCTCACCTTTTGTGACTCAGAGAAGGGGATGGTTCCTTTTCTGGTAAGAGTTTAGGCAAGGGTAGGCAACCTTTTTGAGCCAGGGGCTGGTCCTCCGAAGTCCTCCC